TTCAATGTAACAGGAAATGTGTGTGTAACATACAAACCTGGGCTCAGATCATGAACAATATAGTCAGTACATAGATAGAGAATGTCAAATGAAAATTTTAGTGCTCTCTAAGTTTATATTTGTTATTCTTCAAGTGACATCCTTCATTCTTAGTAGTGAGCCTCTATGTCATCATATTATTAAGAATTCTTTTACTGGAGAAAGGTATTCCTTGGCATATGAATTTGAACTGTAATTCTGCTATCTTGAGATGATAAAGATTTACAGCTGTCTTAACTAGCAGTAGTAGTGTGTGTTTTGTGGGGGTTACTTCCATTTAGGTAATATATTCTGTTTATCTACAGTTCTCAGTGTAATGTCAGTTTGCCGACTTAATCTTCACTTTCTGTACCAAATTATTTACCAGTGTTGCTGATCTTGTGTAAATAATTTCAACAGCTAACATTAAGCATAATACCAAGAATATAATTTGATTTTTGAAAACTATGGTAAATTCTGGCATAAAAAATTATGTAAATGATGTGTATAAAAATAGGTTAGGATTTCTAAATTTGCAATATCAAGCAGTTAGTGTTAATTTAGCAGTTAACAATTTAAGGTACATTATGGTTGGCAGTGGCTTGTACGACTATGTGCTACAAAGTGGCAGATTACTGAGAATCACAGAATAATTTGCCTTGAAAAGGACCTCTGCAGGTCATCAATTCCAATCTCCTCAAATAGGGCTAATTTTAAAGGTAAGACAGGTTGCTTGGGGCATTATCCAGTCAAGTTTTGAAAATTTCCGAAGATGGAATTTCCCTAGCCTCTCTGAGCAAGGCATTCCACTGCTTAATTATCATCAGTTTTTTTCCCTACTTTTAGTTGAAATTTCTCATGTCATAGCTGTGACTGTTTCCTCATGTCCTTTTAATGTGCTCTTTTGAGGAATCTCTTTCTCAGTCTTTCCTATAGCTGTTCTTTAGGTAGTTGAAGGTTGCAGCTAGACCTCATCTCAGCTGCCTTCTATTCAGGATCTCTTAACTTCTCCTTTTACATAACGATGCTCCATTTTATTCCCAACTCTGAAAGTGAATTAAATCCACTTGTGTTGTAGTAAGAGTAGTAGGTCCTTGTAGGTGATCTAAGTATTTAAGCAATGATATAAGAACTTATATATGAAACAACTTGTCTGTTTTTAATTATGTTAGTTTATTAATAGAGTATATCTATATCCTCTCTTCCTACAAACCTTGGCAATCTTCTACCTTCCATTGTTCATATTTGCTCTATTTATATCACATATCCTGGGCATGTAAATACCTCAAAATATTTTTAGCAGGGTTAGAAACTTCCTTCCAGCCTCCCATCAAAACACTTCTGTTATGTGTAATATTTTCAGTTATAGCACCAGTGTGAAGCATAGGGTAAGTTCAAGAGAAGCAGCATTTACAACAGACACTAAGAAATCCTGAAGAAAGGGATGAAGCTGAAGTCTCATCTGATGCCTCAGCTTAAACACCTTGTTTAGACATTGTGCTAAACTGGGTGTTATAAAATCCTTACCCTCATTCCAAATAAGTGCTTTTATTATCAATGTAAAGTCAGATTCCAATAGCTAATCTTTCTTTCTTCCCCTAGGAATTTTGCATTATTGCTGCATGGTCCAATAGCAACAAGAGAGAGATCTCAGTCCAGCCTGTGTACTGGAGATTATGAGCAGTCTCCTGGAAATTATGAAATATGAAACTGAGTCTATCAGCTTGAGAACATTATATAATCTGATCACCCTTTACCCAGGATATGTAAATGCTTGGCCACTTCTATAAATGAGACTTTACCATCATTCTTCAAGTTGCTTTTTGATTTAAAAGCTCATGTCTGTTTTACTTTGTGATAAACTCAGTGCTACCAGTGTTTGTCTCTGCACTAAGTATATCTGAAGTATCCCCTCAATGAGGGAATTTTGCTTTGGAGATTCCTGGTTTGCGAGTCCCAAAAGACTGGTAGCTGCCAAACTTCTCAAATCAGGCAGGATCACGGTTGCTTAAGGATGCACAACAACATCAATGTTCAGACAATTTCAGGTGGTGAGAGTAATTTATTACTGAAAATAAGGGAACACAAAGACACTTACGTGCCTGGTTTTATGTCCATGCTGCTCTGAAGTGGCAGAAGTATATTCATTACCATGTAGTGCCTGCCCTCCCATGCACATAACAACCTCATTGACATCTTGTTCAGTCTAGGCTGGGAACAAATAGTCATGCTTAGCATTTTTTGCCATGCAGATTCCTAAAGGGCTTATTGCTATTGTGCTTGACACTTCCTTGTAGGCTTATACTGTAGAATACAGACAAGATTGACCTTCAGAGCAATTCTCCAGCCGGCTGGCTGGGGTACTGTGCATGTAACCTTAAAGAGTGGGCAAAATCTTTCTTTATCACATTCTTTGGCTTCAGCAGCGATAGTGTTCCTGAATTTGCCTTTAGGCATCTACTTGCTCCTATCATTCAATGCCAAGCAATCTCTACATTTCACCTTATGTCATCTTTCATTATAATCTAAATCAGCTGCCACTTCTTTTCCAAGTACCGCTCCACTCAGGAGGAAACCAAACCACACTTACTTAGTGTAGCGTACCTAAACTGAGAAACATCCTTTTGCTGTTGTACATCAGCCAACTTGTAATACTTGCTTATATGGGAAATAGCACATAATATATGTCCAATAACTATATAAATGAATACCCTAGCAAACTAAATCATGACACAGACTCAGACTAGATTTGTCAATGCATGTTAAAGTCTCTTCTCCTAAGGCTGCAACTTCTCTAAAAGCATGCTATTTCCAAACATCTCCAAGAAACAGTCAGTCCATCTTTTTACTCACTGGTGTGCTTAATTGAGATTCTAAGATCTGTTTTCCAATGTTAGTAGAGATGTTTTTCAACCAGTAGTTAAACTGGTCTAGCATTGTTACTTTTAGCTGTGGCAGGTAAGAGTTAATGTTCTTCATCCATCTGTATCCTACCTAGCATTCAGGCTTTAAATATACTATGTAAGAGGCTATTTTGAGTCCAAGAGTCTACTCAGTACAACTGGTGTTATCAAAGTCCTTTGATGCTGGGACCTGATCAGTGGCAATGGGAATGTTTAGAGCTTTAGCAGCAGATTTCTAAGATCATACTAAGTGTACATGACAATTGGTTTTCACAGCGACAACTGAATACCTTCCTGACAACTGCAAGTGCACATTTGTGCAGTTTCAAAAGTAAAGATAAGGCAAAATTCATAAATTCTACAAGTAACAGGAAGAGCTCTGGAGAAGGGAGCAGGAAAATGAAGTTACATCTGTGGTAGCAAGTTGTAACGAAGCAATTAGTATTAAGAAACTTAATGCCCACACTATACACATTTTAAGAGATTTTACTCTTGGCTAGCTCTATTCTGTACAGTGGATTTATGGAAGGGCTTTAGGTACACCTCCAGAGTGCGTACATTGGTTTAGTTTCATCCAAAGGATATCAGTTTGCATGCTTTAAAACTGCTCTGTGATATGAATCAAAGTATATTAAGTAGAAGCTATAGGTTTTTCACTTAAAAATTGCAGTCTTTTTTTGAACTAAAATGCTAATACAGATGCATCCTTGTGGAAGAAAACAAGCCACGACTTTTCAAATGTAAATTTGAAATTCACTGGCTTCTTGAGAAGTAGCTTTGGTTACAAAATGATCCCTACTAGATTATTTGAGTTATAAATTCACATTCTTGATCCTGGTAAATTACTGTAGCTGTACTGTATTCAAAAAGATTAGCTAATTTACATTCACTGAGGATCTAATCCATAGACTTTAGAATCCAGTGTGAAGTTCCATAGGTTGACAGTCACTAAAGATATTTATTGGGAAACTAAACCAGGGTTTAATGAGAGGGTTTTTTTCACATTGATTGCCAATATCAATGTTGATGAGAAGATAAATTGTCTTTTGTCTTAGAAATTTAAATCACTATGAAAAGCTCAGCCATTTACACAGTGGGTTTAGAGACATTAACATAGTCAACACATGCTTTATATTTCATAATAAAATAGTCTCATGATATAAAGATTTGTGAATTTAAACCAATTTTTCAGAAGAACTGGCATACATCTAACATAATCCAACTGTAATAATAGCAGTATGAGGCTTACATTTTCAAAATTATGTGTATAGATGCATTCCATTAGCTTTAATGTCAGCTACAAGGCTAAGGATCAGATTTTTCCTGAGTTAATCCTCTAACTCCCACTGATTTTAGTGATCTTAGATTACAAAATAATTTTTAAAGTCCTTCAACCCCTAAGTTTTTAAATATATCCAGCTCAGACTGAATTGTTATCAGTACAATGAGTCTGTTTATTGGCACAGTTTTCATATGTAGCTAGATAGCTACTGAATATATTTCTGCATGTGATGTACAACAATCTCCTTTGAAGATTTAATTGTAAGTGCATTTTGTGCAGAGGCAGTACACCATTTAGAGGTCATTTTCTAGTGTTTGGAAAAAGAAGAAAACTAACAGTTGAAGTGAAATAAATATGTAATTTATATGATGCAGTGTCAGATATGGAACTAAAACAATGTACAAAAGGTTCAGGCTTAATTTTCCTGAAGCAGAAGAAATGAGAGGCATTTCATTTTTGTAGGTGAGAAGTGAAATGTTCCTCTCTGCTCACTGATAGAGGCATGCTAAGGTGAATTTTAATTATGACTAAATTGTGGTATTACTCTTTCATACCCTGAACATCTGTTCCCTTCAGGAATGATGATTTATGCAGGCTATCACTGCAGACAGCTTGCTACAGCTTATGTCACGGTTAGTAGGAAGCTGGTGGTAGTATTTCAGAAAATACCAGCATCTAAGTGGAGACAGGCCAGTGTGTATTTTTAAGGTAATAGGGAAAGGGGAGCATGATGTGTCTGTTTTTAATTTTGAAGCCAAATATTGACTTGACTTTTTTTTATTCTATTTTTCTTTCAGACCATCTGTCATTAATGAAGAAAGTATCTTGGTCAGTGAATGGCCTGGTTCTTCATAATGGTGTCAAGCAAAAGAAAACCAAGCCTATCATTTCCAACTGTGTGTGGAAAATTATTGGGGACACTTCTGACAGAATTTTAGTGTTTAAGAACTGCACAGGGCATGATAACTATGAGCCTATTGCATCACAATATCAAATTGAAAAGGTAACCTTTGTTTATTACCATGTTTGAATGAATGCATCTCCAAAGTACTTTCATGGTTGCAGCAGCTTTATAACTTTCATATAACTATAGATTATTCTTTAAAAAAAAACAGCCAAAAAATCCTTTAAATTAGAAATCCTTGGAATTTGACAAAATGGGGACTATATGTATGTTCAGTTTAAATAAGGGGAATTTTACTTCTCTGCTCCCTCTTTCCTGAAATCCCCTCTGCTCTTTAATCTGCTTGTCTTTGCCTAGTAGCCACTTTGCTTCTGATTATGCCTATTTCTTCTCCCGATTTTGCGTGTGCTAACAGGATGTTATCTGAGGATTTAGTGCCAAGGAACATTATTTCTAAGATCATCTGAGGCATGGGTTATATATGTTTGAAAATATGGTCAATTTTGCTTAGATTTAATATTTAATTATAAGTATTCTGTATTTAAAATGTTTGTCTTAAAGTATATGACACCGTAACCATATAATGACACATTTTAAAGTTAGGTTATATACAAGAATCTTTTTTCCCTGTATAAGGCATTGTGATACTTTCATGACAGTTCAGTAGTTTTGAGAAGAATTGATATGCTGTCTTTGTTTTCAGGTAAGTTTAGAAGGGCATATGTATTTGTCCAAAACGTATGGCATATATACTTTATATCACATCATTTCTATTATTAGTCTTTGATATGTAATAAGTTTTTAAACTTAAATTTTCAATACTTTTCAAGCCTTAGGTTCATTCACAGCATAGAATACTTTGCAAAGATTTCCATTTCATGTAAGGAATTTTGAATACCTGAAATATTAACATTCAGCCCTCTCTGAATTGTGTAATCCAGTTTGTTTTTTAATTCTGTAGGACAGTATGATCATTGTAGATACTTTCCTACTGAAATTATTCTATTCTATTCTAGTCTAGTCTAGTCTAGTCTAGTCTAGTCTAGTCTATTCATTATAATTTTCATCCACTAAAATAATACCCAGGAGAACTATATCTGGCTCAGTTAACGAGAGGTGATACGTCTGTTAGATTTCTAATGTTGCCTGTGATAGATATCATCCCATATTTTGTAATATAAAACTAATTTTGTTACTGTCAGCATTGGTGCTAATAGATATCAAGAAATTACATGCAAATATTAATAATAACACTTCTGCAATAAATGTTCCTAGAACCTATCATCTAACTAGAACATTCATGATACTTTCAACATGAGTATAATCAAAACATACAGATCAAACTCGTCTGTACCTCAGGTCAAAAAAGTTCAACAATAATTTTTGAACACACAAATTCTGTAGTTTGGTACAGTATTAATCAATCTTTGTTTGTTTGTTTGTTTGTTTGTTTGTTATTGTTTTTTGTTGCGGTTTTGTTTTGTTTTGTTTTTTCAGTGTGGAAGTCTTGACCTAGAACATTAACTAGCAAACTGATATCCATGAGGCATTATATGTGTGGACTGCCTGTAAAGGGTATCCAAAAGCAATTGAGGCCATGATTTTGAGTACATTTCAAGTCAGTGTATTCCAGTGCTGTAGATAAAAGAAGCCTCCAAAAAAGGAGGCAAACCCAAACAAGGAAACACAAAACTTTATTTATATAAATATTGCCTTTTTTAAATTGTATTTCTTTGGATGGGCAGTGTCTGTTCTAAGTTTGGTGTGTGACGTCAGTTGTGGAATGTGATTTCTATTGAGGTAGGAGGTGTTTTTCACACTTGAACATTATTGTACTTGAATGTGGGATTTTTAAAAACTTTTAAAAAGAGGACACATTACTCTTAAAATTTATGAGACTCATAAAATTTTTCTTCATACATTGGCTCTGTTTTCTGTATGAGTGCCTTGAAAAAGACAGCTTAGGGTATTCACCTGACTGACCTGAAAGAGGCATGATGGGTGAATAATGTCATTAGTATTTTCCTCGTGCCTTTTCTTTTCAACAGTTCCATGAACAATGAATTTTTCCTGGTCAAAGTATTGCCATTTCTGTCATCAAAAAGTAACTTGTGTGCTATCTATCTTAGACTTTCTTGCAGAGAATGACAGGTAATTTCACTAGCATCATTTCAGTGACAGTTTCTGCTTTAATCACACAACTCCTATAGTGCTGATTCACCTCTTTCATAAAATCTGCATTCACTGAATAGTATTGCACAATATAAAAACAGCTATTGTATATATTCACAAGTATTATGATTTCCGTACAAACTGGAAAAAAGGTAAGCTAAATATTCAGTTATCAATTATTTTGAAGTATGTGTAGCAGGAAAGAATATTTAAAAGGATGATATCAAGAAATATATGTTTTAAATTGACAGGTATGTTACTTTATGGTATCCAATCTGAAAACCTGGTTCAACATTAAATCCTAATAGTGGAAACATCCTCTCTAAAACAATAGCTATAATGTATGACTAGAAAAAGTCAAAGCAATGTGGACATAGGCAATAAGCATAATTTATAATTTGACTGTGGGCACAAGAAATGGCTTGTGATATGCCCAACTGTGATGGCATACAACAAGCCAAAATGACTTTTTTGCCTCAGTCTTCACCAGCAAGTGCTCCAGCCACACCGACACAGAAGATAAAGATAAGGAATGGGAGAAGGAAGAATTGTCCACTGCAGATCAGGTTCAAGACCATCTAAGGAACCTGAAAATGCACAAGTCCATGGGACCTGATGAGATGCATCCATGGGTTCTGAAGGAACTGGCGGATTAAATGGCTGAGCCACTTATCCATCATATTTGAGAAGTTGTGGCAGTCCAGTGAAGTTCCCATTGCCTGGAAAAGGGGAAACAGAACCCCTATTTTTAAAAAGAGAAAAAAGGAAGACCTGGGGATCTACAGGCCAGTCAGTCTCCCCTCTGTGCATGGGAAGATCATGGAGCAAATCCTGCCGGAAACTATCCTGGGGAATAAGGAGGTGATGGGTGACAGCCAACATGAATTCACTAAGGGAAATTGTGCCTGACAGATTTGGTGTTCTTCTGTGATGGGGATACAGCATTGGCGGATAAGGGAAGAGCAACTGACATCATCTACCTGAAGTTGTGCAAAGCTTTTGACACTGTCTTGCATGAGATCCTTGTCTCTAAATTGGAAAGACATGGATTTGATGGATGGACTACTCAGTGGATGAGGAATTGGCTGGATGATCTCACTTGAAGAGTTGTGGTTAACAGCTTGATGTCCAAGTGGAGAGCGGTGACGAGTGGCGTTCCTCAGGGGTCGGTGTTGGGCCTGGCACTGTTTAACATCTTTGTCAGTGACATGGACAGTGGGACTGAGCGCACCCTCAGCAGGTTTGCCGATGACACCAAGCTGTGTGGTGCGGGGACACGCTGGAGGGCAGGGATGCCATCCCGAGGGACCTGGACAGGCTGGAGAGGTGGGCCTGTGCAAACCTCATGAAGTTCCACAAGGCCAAGTGCAAGGTCCTGCAGGTGGGTTGGGGCAATCCCAAGCACAAATCCAGGCTAGGTGATGAGTGGGTTGAGAGCAGCCCTGCGGAGAAGGATTTCGGGGTGTTAGTGCATGGAAAACTGACTGAGACAGCAACATGCGCTCACAGCCCAGAAAGGCAACGGTGTCCTGGGCTGCATCAAGAGCAGTGTGGCCAGCAGGTCCAGGGAGGGGATTCTCAGAAGGACACAGACCTGCTCAGGTGGCTCCAGAGGAGGTAATGAAGTTGATCAGGGGGCTGGAGCAGCTCCCCTGTGAGGCCAGGCTGAGAGAGTTGGGGGTGTTCAGCCTGTAGAAGAGAAGGCTCCAGGGAGACCTTAGAGCAGCCTCCCAGTACTTAAAGGGGGCTAGAGGAAAGCTGCGGATGGACTTTTTACAAGGACGTGTAGTGATAGGACAAGGAGCAATGGCTTTAAACTGCAAGAGGGTAGATTCAGATTAGATATAAGGAAGAAATTCTTTCCTGTGAGTATGGTGAGGCACTGGCACAGGGTGCCCAGAGCAGCTGTGGCTGCCCCCTCCCTGGAAGGGTTCAAGGCCAGGTTGGATGGGGCTTTGGGCAACCTGGTCTGGTGGAAGGTGTCCCTGCCCGTGGCAGGGGAGTTGGAACTAGATGATCTTTAAGGTCCCTTCCAACCCAAACCACTCTATGATTCTATGATTATTATGTTTGGGATGTGTTATTCTAAATGTTTCTAAACGAGAGTTTCTATCTTTGCTAGCAGAATAAAATTATTTAGAATTAAATATTTAAACTAATACAAAACCATGTATTTCTATATTTAATTGGAATCAGAGGTTAAAGTAAACAATTGTGATATTACTAGAGTGTAGCATATCTTTTTATTCAAAGCATTCAAAGCATGCATGCTCTAATCAAAATAAGCAGTTAGCATAAAAGTGTAGTTGGGAAAATCAAGCCTGCCTTTCTCTTCTGCAGCACCCAGTGTAACTGAAATGTGCACTAGTAGGATATACACTTTCCACTGCTAAGAAGTCTTTTGCTGAAGTCACTAAGTAACTTTTAAGATGTTTCTACAGTACATTGTTTTTCTACCTACCATGACCATCTATTGTCTATGAATACACATTAAAAATTTTTGAATGGCATATTCGTCTTTTTGTGTGGCTAAACTAATCAGATTTGATAACAGTTTACTTTCTGTAACTTACTTAGACTGTCTATAAAATCTTTGAAGTAGAGCCTCCTGTTACATGTGTACAGCATCTGGTAGAAGTAGATTCATTTTTCAGAAGCATCTAAATTTTTCATTTTATACTATTGCAGTTGGTAAAAAACACATAATATTTTGTTATACCTGCAATTACTTCCCCCCCACACACACCCCCTAGGATAACTCAGAATATTTGATTTCTTGCATTTCTAACAAATTTGCATATATAGAATGCTGTACTTGCCAATCTGTGTAGTCATTACTGGAAATCAAAGTACTGACAGCTGTTCATTCTGCATTTTATGTGGGGTACAGGCTACATTGCAAAGGCATTTGTTCTCTAAGTGGTAAATATTTACTTTGTAGCTGTTTAGAGCATATTCATATTATGGCAGGGTTTTTTTGGTTTTCCTAATGTATTTGTTAAAGAACTAGGTCTTAATTATTTTCAGTAACACCTTTCTTTTTTTAAAGTTTTCAGATGATTGTACATTGAGGATGAATCTTGCTTCTCCAGTGAGATACTAATACAATATATGTGGAGAAAATATCTGCAGTATCATAAGTGGTAAGTAGCATTTGTAGCACAGGCTTTCTGTTTATTATGTCAAGGACTTAGAACAGAAAAGCAAATCAGGACTTTTTTTTTTTAATCCTTTGTGTAGATCGGTGCCCTTAAATTATACTAAAAATGACATATAGCAAATAAGATAATGAATAAAGCTATTGTTTTATGTAATTCTATAATTTTAATATTTGCATAATTTTTCATCCTTTCTTCGGTGATTGCATGTCTTTCTTTCTGTAGGTACTTTAGTCTGAAAGCTTTTTCTTACAGTTTCTGTGGGATAACACACATAGTTTATCTCTTCTACCCTTGTATATAGTCTATAAATAAGAGATCATTCCAACTCTGTTTAAGAAGGCTACGAATTATTTCTCTGAGCTTTCCCTCAAGGCTGTTTTCTAAGAAATAGCTATGTCTTTTTACCATAAATTTAATTAGGCATTTAAATATATATCCCTATGACATTTTTTTCCTTGTTCCTGAATATCTCTCTTTGTTATTCAGACCAAAGATTTTTAGTACCAAGTTTTAAATAAATGAGTTCAAGAGCTTCAGACTTTAAAAGTGCCTGTATCTATAAATAATCCTCCTATCATGGGAGTACTATATGAGGAAGATGTAGCATTTGTAAATCATTAAAAGCAGCCTTAAATTCTTTGGGTTGTGCACCTCAATAAATGTCTATGTAAGTAGTCTGCTTATTTCTCCTTTAGTCCTAACCAATTTCAGAGAAGCAAATCAGATTTTATCCCAGCTAGGAGTAGAGTTTTCAGCAGTTTTTGACTCTTTTCACAAGCCAGATAGCATTCCCTGGCCACAGTTTAGGAAAAGAGAAGGCTGTCTTCATTATAAGCATTTTAATGTTATTTCAAAGTTTACAGCTACTTTCAAATAAAAGCTTAAAAAAAATATTCTTGATGATTTTAAAAAATTATAAAGAATGCTCATGAAAATAGTTGTAATAAGAAGAGCATTATAGCCACAGCTAAATATTCCCCCAAACTGTCTGAGGAGTAACTGGACTTATACCTTGTCAGTGCTGTTGAAAGAAAGAACCCACTGATATATTCAGAGCCTTCCTACTCAATGTGATGGAACTATTTATCTCTGTGGTGGCATTTTCAATTTATGGTACCGATGACATCAGTGGCACACTGGATAATGAGATACGGATTAAGCCTTTGTGTGCCTCATTTTCTTTAATCACAGATTATGTAACTGCACTTGCAACATTTGTATATAAGCATGTTACTGCTAAAATATTTCCTTCAAAACCAGCATTTAAATATAACTCAGGCATGATGAAACACTCAGCTCTGCCTTCACTGTGAAATCCGGTACTGTGACAAAAGTATCTTTGATGCCAATTACATGACCTGTCTAAGAATCAACCCAGATATTTATTTTCTGCACCTCATCCTAACATTTAGCTTCAGATTCTACCTAACATTTCTGTCCTCAGGTGTGGAATTTAGTGGACATACCTTTTTTGACAGATCCAGGAAAAGTAAACTGGCATTGATTCCATAGCTAGAGAAGTGCTTTTATTCTTAACCTAGCTAGGATCATAATTCTGAATTTAGAAGCACTTCTCTGTGGAATGTATATCATTACTTTTCCCACAGATATATAAAAATTTTCTCTATACCTAGTATTTTCCTCCTTTTATACCTCTGTTGCCTATTCTTAAGGGAGTATATTTGGTGTTTTGTCAGACCAGTAAGAACTGACATCAACAGATGCAGCTAATTAATTGGTCTATTCAGACCAATTTATAATAATATATGTAATGTAATATAATATAGTATAAACTATATATTATTATATACAGACTATAGTAAATGTATACTGATGTGTTATATGTACAATGTACTATTGTATATATTATATATAGTAATAGAAGGATTATGCATTTTACATGTAAAATTGATATTTAAATAGAAATGCATGCACAGTCCTCAGTTCCACTCACCTGTGTGAAGTTCTGAAACTCCATTGGAAAACACAAGTGAATCTCCTGAATTTATTTGACATACAGAATGTAGCCCCTTGTACATACCTTATTCTGGTTAGTATAGAAAGCACAGTATGAGCAGGGAAAATAAAAAAGATGTTTGAATTGATCTGGCAAATGTGTAGCTGCTGACACCAGGGGTTGTAACCAACAGAAACAGCATTAACTTCCATTATAAAGCATCTTTACTTGACTTGCTAAATTAGAGTGAAAAAAAAATGACGAGATCAATTTTTCTTCCTTCTCCTCCCTGGCAGTATGTATATCTGGTAGAATGGAGAGTAGCACCTTTTGGTTTTAAGTACATTCAAAATACCACTGGAGAAAACCCTGAGTTTGACGCTTCTTTGAGCAGGGAGTTGGACTGGGCAAACTCTAGAGGTTCCTTCCAACCCCAACCATTCTGTGATCATGTGAAGTTACCAGAGGGACTGCAGTAATGCATCAGAATGAACTGTTTTGAAGAATTCTAAGCATACTGTGGCTGAGAAAGTCTTCTTGGCCTCCCATTGGCTGGTTGCTGCAATTTCATCTGGACAGGTTTCTGTAATGACTTCAGCACTCAATGTTTTGAAAATAGAGATGAGCATTTGCAAGTTAGTCACAATTGAAAAAAGGAAATGCCCAGGAAAAGTGTTGGTTGTTATAAAAGACTTCCATAGGCTTGATAAACATCTTTCAAATGGTGGCACAGCTCCTTGCATGAGTGTGGGAAAACTTTCCAACAATTATAAGATAACAAAGCCATCACAAGTATGACTAGTTGAAAAGAAGCCTGATTAAATACTTAGTTGTAGAAACTTGACCTCAGCAATGTTTCAATAATGCTAACATAAAGACAGGAGCAGAAAAGAGGGAAAAAGAGAACTTTCAAAATGATTTCTGAAAAAAGCCGCTTCTTCATTCATGATTGCTTCCTCTATTTCTCCAATGTTGCCTGAATTGAAGCCTCCCAAAAGCTCCTAATGACAACACTTGTGCATTGACTAGATTGCTGTAGACTTGTACTATACTTACATTCATCAGGATAAATATTAAACAAAGAAGAAAGATTAAAAATCTTATATTGCCTAGACTGGATGAAATTGAACTGAACTGCTGTACCTCTCTTTTTGTCTTAATATGGTTATAATCATCACACACACAGATGTATGCATGCAGTACACTCCTTTCCATTTCTCTTCCATTTAATTCTCTTTCATTTAATTCTTTACTCATAAGTGAGGAGCAATAGTAGTCAATTATTACTTTGTATTTCTCTTTTGGTCTTAATTTTGTCCAGTTTCTAGTTTGTTTCTGAACTTCAGCACAAGAGCAGATGGAAAACCTTGTTGTAAGTTTTATGTGTCTAGAGTGATTCATTCATTCCAAGTTAAACATTCACATGTAATCAAATAGTTTTTCTAAATTGTTTTAAAACAATGAAAAAAAGTTGGTATGTTTTATTCTGAACTGGTGAAATTTAAGTAGATGAGATGAGATAGCACAGTAAGTATAGTGAGGCTTCTGCTGCACAAACAGAACATTGTGAGCATTGCAGCAAGTTTGGTGCTGACATACATTACCTTTCTTGTTCTGTGGACATACTGCAATGTGATTACTCTCCTGCAGGCCATCACAAGTTGTCACTTCTGGTTGCTGTTGGCTTGTATTTGCTGTGGTCCCACACACTACTGTTTGCAAAGTCATAAGCCGTGTTGTAGTGTCTGGAAATATGTGTCATTCCTGTACATGAATGAACTGAAGAGTAAAATTAAGGCTATTGTAACTCTTTCTTTCTGCCTGGAAAAATAATATTCTACAAAACATTAAGTAATAATTCTGACTACTGAGTAAAACTTTTCTGAGTTCTTTATAGCCTGAGTCATGCAAATGACTTAATATTTACGTAGTATCATTAATTACTAGGAAGACAGTCATTTCAGTGCAAGACTATTTTTACTTTTACATAGCAAGTTATTTAAATCTATTCTTTTTCTGTGCTGACCTGTTATAAGCTATTCTAGTTTTTAAAAAAAAAAGAAATTTGCGGGGTGGTAGAAGTGGAGAAAGAGGCATAAAGTGTATTGGAAAACTACCAAATGTCCCCTGCAAATGGACCCTATTCAGAATCAGTAAGCGTATGATGAGTGAAGTGGTTTTGAATATCGCCTTTAGATTCCATGCTGTTACAAGGCCAGCCCCGAACATGGCAACTCTTATTTCCACACACAGTACCTCTTCACTCTCAATTTAACCCAAAAATCTGATGAACCCATTACTCCATACTTGATTTCATGGAACAAGGAGTAGATATAGTTACAAATGATCAATCACAAGCCGTGAACCAAAGCAGCAAGGCATTAACAATTCACACCATTTCGGTCCACTTGCTCAAGCAGAAGATGTGCCAGCATATTTAATGCACAGCTACTTCGTTCAGTTCAAGAAAAGACATGACTCATGCTCATTTTAGGAACTGAGGAGACTTCATAGGTTTTTATGCCTACTAACCACTGAGTGTTAATAGTTTACACTTCTAAACAATTAATATAACCAGGTGTTCAGTAAAGGTCACAAAGATAGATAAGTTATAAATTCAGTTTTGCTCAGGTTAAAAATAAATGGAAGGATGACCTGGGAAATGGTTCCCGCAATAAAGCAAAGTTGTGTTGTACAAATTTGTATTGTACAATCAACATCTTGTTCAGCAGTATTGTAACATTGTAGACCCCACAGGCATATGCCGTCAATTTAATGGGATCACTGAAAAAGCAAAGCAGCTGTGAAAGATTGCTTTAAGTACAGCAATCGTGAGCTTGTCATTCTGTTCAATGGTGGAAAAATCCAAATTCGGATAGGCATCAGTATTTAAGAAAATGACTGCTAAAGCATCTCTCATAAGTACCTTGGGGACAATACAATTTGACATGTAGCATGTAAACAAAAGTACACAGCAGCTGTTAGATTAGTTTTTGTTTGAGTAAAAACATACTGACATAATTTAAACAACATAGGAAAATACATGTCCTACATCATTCAGTTTCCCTATATAAAACACAGTTTTGGATAGTACATGCTAGTTGCGCTGGACAAATTACTGTGTGGTGTTTGCTAAAAATAAGAAACAGTGAAGTACAGTGTATGTTAGCACAACCTCATGCCCTCTGTGAAATATATATACAGTGTACAGTGCATACTGAAAGTACCTTCAAGAAAAGCCTTGTCCTGAGGAAGCATGAAAAGAATTTCTAGTATTTTCTTCATATTGAAAGATTATTTTTTCCATAGCGGAAAAAATATTAATGATTTATTTTCTGTTCTTCTGATACTGTTATTTATTTAAAAAAATATATTTTTAATGTTTTGTAGGTTATTTGCTAAGACAATGTAGAAAAGAACTCAGCATAATACTATGTTTATGCTCCAAGAATGTAATGAGTTTAAGTAAGAAGAAAGTTAACAAACTGAATTTTGGGGGATTTGTTTTTGGGTTTTTTTGGGGGGGTTGTTTTTTTTTTTTTAACTCCTCTTGTGATGATTGCAGATTGCCAGAGGGTGATTTTCTCATTCCTTTACAAATGTTCTGCTTACCTTTTGTGGATATCCTACTGGGCTTTGTATTTCATGCTTTCTGTCACTCCATTTGATCAACACTTCACTCTGATCATTTTCAGCAAGTTTAAAGATAAGACAAAAAAAAAGAGCAGGTTTTTCTCTTCACTGTTTGCCACAGTGGCTTCATGACATTATCTCCATCAATTTAAAATCCCTGGGGTTTGTTTTAGGGAAAATTTCTCATCTCTGTTTTTCAGAGGAGTGTAAAATTACACTGTAAAACAATTATTTTCTTCAAGGAAATTCAGTGTTTGTCATGTGATATGAAGACCAAAAAATCAATGAGGAGGAGAATAAAACCAATAAATGTATATTTACACTGTTCATCTTAGCTGAGGTGCAAAGATCCTTGGGTACTCTACTTTTATCCATGGCTGACTACCTAGCGGTTAAGACTGCTACAATGGCAAAAATTATTCAATTAAAAAAGAAAAAATACAGATGGGTTCTAAGGCAGTATTTTAAATTCTGTGTAAAAATTATAAAGAAAATAGATTTTGTCTATAATTTAAAATATTTTCCATAAATTCTAACTACCTTTTTTTCCTCAGCTTCCCTTGAAAGGAAGTTTCTTTCCTTTAAAATTTATTTCCTTTTCTGATCAAGGACTCATTTGTCATCACTCCCTCTCAGGAATTCCATGAGTACCTCACAATAAAATCTCTAACCTCCTGAGAGACATACATCATGATGTGTTGTTCCTAAACCTTACTAGCTAGCTCACATACTTTGTTTCCAAAGGCTAGTCTTTGCCTTCTTTTGCTATGGTCAACACACTGTTATTGACCTTCATATTCCTGCTTCATAGTTCAATGTTTGTTATGTTTGATCAGCTGTAATGTTGAATAGACTATACAATGCTTGACAATAGACTTGCAAATCTTTGGAAAATTTTGCTTATAAATTCTTTTCACCTTGCTTTGTAGACTGTGGTTTGTATAAAGCCATAACATTAAAACACTCCAGTGAAATTGAGAGATATTTTATGGACTCATTATTGATACTCCTTCAGTTTTCAAAAGGGTATTAGTTCAGACTAGTACCTTCTTTGTTTTAGGTGAATTACCAAAACAGATGGAAGTCTGGAAGTAGCTAGTTGTTCATTGAAAATGATTCTTGCATACTTAGATCAGTTCCAAATAAGAACAACATAAACATTCCTAAACTAGCAAGAACTTTTTGTACAGCTGTGATTTTTTAATCTAGAGTGCTAAGGATATATTCTGGAATCACCAAACAGATACCCAGAACAACAAACTTATGGAATATTTATGTAATAGTATACTCTTCTGAAATTACTTCCTCAGTGTTCTACTTTTATTCCTTTCCCATTATAGGAATGCATGGTTTCATACTTCCGCGAATGCTTAATAACTTAAATACTATTGATTTCTGGAATTTTAAAAAGGAGGTCAAAAGAATGGGGGAAAAAAAGAAAGAATACAAGCTGTTTGAGATTATAAATCAGGACAAAAAAAAAAGTTAAGTGTGGAATGAAGCAAATACTGTTATGGACAGAATCAGTTTATGTTTCAGTTATTATTTCTGATAGAAAATTTTTTGAGTCTGATACTCAGTGTGACTGACTAATTTGGGTGTTAGGCATGTCTAAAAGAGGTGACACTGGATTTTTTCAGTTCTGAGCTATCCCAGCAGGTCCTGGAACTGTCCCCTCTCTGGTCCTGAAGGTCAATGTTTTCAGAGAGTGTATCAGCATGGCCACATTACACTGGTGTTAAAATAATTTGTGGTAAAATAATAGTGTTATAATTAGTGTTCAAATGTAACATCCAATTCCAGTATACACGCATTTTTTCACAGCTGTTTTTCAGTCTGCTTGCACATTCAGAAAAGCAGAACTACATGTGTTTATCTTAATTTCTGCTTGTGATCAATTTCTTATGGTAACTAGGTTAAAAGCACTGAGTAAAAACCTTATTCACTTCAGCTATTTGTAAAAATTCCAGAGACTTCACTGGGATCAGATTTTCATCCTTTTATTTTGTTTGAACTAACCACTCCTCATCACATAACGTGAAACTGATGCTGCTTTCTTAGTTCTGAAGTAAATTCACTCCTGCTGGTGTTCCTGGTCAGACCTCATTCATTACCTCATCTAATTGTCTTAATTTTATGTCTGACTCCAATATTAAGGTGTATGTGCATTATTAGAATTATCTGGAAAAGTATTAATTCACTGATTGTCATCTTGAAATAATTTTTACTCGCATTCAATTGCATGTCCATATCCTGAAAAATCAGGTTTTAAAAGCAAATATTTAGCATCATATAGTATGCATTTTGACTTGGAATCTTTACTTTGATGGCATATTTTGAAAAAGTTTTTCAGTATTACTTTTTAGGATAATCAATAAGAGTAGGTTAATGTACATATTTACTTTATTCAGTGAATCCCTGTCAGCCTTATTTTGTGAAGCCTGGTCTCCCTTTAGATAAATGGGAATTTTATCAAAAACTTATGTATAGACAGGGTTTCAGCTAATTTTCTTTTCTTAAGCTCCTGCAGAGCATTGAATCCATGTATGTATCTTTCCATGTGTCTTTTTATATTGCTTCTCTTTCTTCCCATTTGCCATCAATACAGGCTTCTGCATATTATTTTCTACTTCTGTAAGAAAGAGAAATTACATGTGAGATTTACAGACAATTCTAAATTACTTTGGAAGAATCATGTGATGGGTTTTCATTCAAGTGATTACTTAAATGTTTATTTTTAACCATGTGGATAGTCCTTTAAACCTAAACAGAACTTTTGTAGTGCTTTTATTTATTCTTATGTTTGTGTATTTTGCTGAACTGAGATTGTACAGTCTTGTAAATATCACAGCAATATCGGAACTTCAATGGGGTTTAAGTAAATTTTAATGACTTTGCCAACTAGTTCAGAAAAGGCATTTTATGCTGAGTATGCAGGATGGAAATAGGTGCAAGGATATCTGCTGGAGAAGTAAGCACACTATATGGAAGCTCTCAGGACTATTTATGTGAGAATGCATAAAATTATTGACTAGATGATAAGATTATATCACAAAACTGTGGAAGTCAGAAGACTTGGATTTTAACATGATTTTTTAAGAAGTAATCCCCTTCCCTTCCCTTCCCTTCCCTTCCCTTCCCTTCCCTTCCCTTCCCTTCCCTTCCCTTCCCTTCCCTTCCCTTCCCTTCCCTTCCCTTCCCTTCCCTTCCCTTCCCTTCCCTTCCCTTCCCTTCCCTTCCCTTCCCTTCCCTTCCCTTCCCTTCCCTTCCCTTCCCTTCCCTTCCCTTCCCTTCCCTTCCCTTCCCTTCCCTTCCCTTCCCTTCCCTTCCCTTCCCTTCCCTTCCCTTCCCTTCCCTTCCCTTCCCTTCCCTTCCCTTCCCTTCCCTTCCCTTCCCTTCCCTTCCCTTCCCTTCCCTTCCCTTCCCTTCCCTTCCCTTCCCTTCCCTTCCCTTCCCTTCCCTTCATAAAAGTCTGAAATGCTACTTAATGCTATTTTATTTCGTCATATAAGAAAGGCCCATATATGCATTATACAGAAGTATCTGCAAAGCACATGCATCTCAGTAGTGCCTGAAGCCAAAATAATCATTCCTTATTTGTCACGCATATTGACATTAGGCCGCTTTGAAAGAATGCTTTCAACCTTTGCTGTGATTTGAAATCTAAGAACAACAAGAAGAGATCTTGTTGAGACCATCGCCACAAATCAATTTTATCTATCTTTTCATTTGACCTTTCCTTGTTTTTAAACAGCTACACTGAGCTTTTTTATTTGTTAGAAGTTGTTTTTTGAGTAGTGGCAGTGAGAAGGTTATAATAAAATGGTTTACAAGAGTGTTGATTATATTTTATGAATGTTACCATTTATAATATAGTAGATATATGTCAGATCCGCAACAGGAAACTGTATACAGAAACAACATGGATCTTGCAATTTTATCAGGACAATGCAAGTAGATTTCAGCAAGGTTGGTTCCAACTCATCTGTGATAAATGAGAAGATAAGGCAATCAGTGCACACCATGACACTCCGTGCAGCTAGTTAGGCACACTTCAGAACTATTCAGGTGTGCTCACGAAGCTTATAAGTCTTTCGTGGGGGGTGTCTCAATATAAATACATCCTTCATGGTGGCCACTAGAAATGCAGGAGTTGCTTTTCCAAGTCTTAACCCAGGTCAGATATAAATAATAGATATTAAGAGTTAGTTCTGATTCTGAGGCTGCGTTACAGGCTGTATATTTCAGTTGGGTCAAAAGAATGCATTTTATTTTTTTTATCTTTTTCTTCTTTTCTTTGCATAGCTCCTCTGCTTGACAGATGCCTGCAAAATTCCATCACACCTTTGTGTGGACCTGTTTGGGTCTTTAAGAGAGAAGGTTTCAGCCTCTCAGGAGCAAAGATTTATATTCAAGGAGTTCTGTTGACCCTGCACCAACGATTAAAGTCTGCAAACTGTTGCAAACAGGTGAGTTGCCTCACTCTTTAAAAGTCTGCATTTTTGTTTTCATTTTCAAATGTACTAATTGTATAAAACCAGCAACTGGCACTGTGTCATAAAGAAGTGTGACATATACTGCACAAGCTGCAGTGCCTGTTAGGAAAATGAAATGCTTCTCCTATAATTACAAAGCCAACAATAAAGGAGTTAATCGTGTCTCTCTTTTGGTGTGGGATGTCATGTCTCATCTTTTCTTGCTGCATACTGTGCCTAGCTGTGATGTTCCTTATGTGGAAATTCTCTAAAGCCATCATTTTTCATTGCGTGTTCTGCACATGCAGTTTTTAATGGTCTCATAGATCTTCCCATGAAACTAATTTAAATAATTATTTAGTTGAGACATTTTTTGAATAAATAAACACTTCCAAGTAATAAATGTATAATATTTCAAAACCTCACTGTTTTAATTACTATGCATGTGCCATTAAATAAATATACCAGACATGCATTTAATTTGAAAAAATAGTAGAAAACAGGTACTGGATATACTGTTTGATAGTTTGGGAGCAAGAAGATGATTTATTTTTTATTAATCAGGTGTTTTATTTTAGGAAATATAAGTAAGAAAACACTGATGTTGTTCAGCATAATTATTTAAGTTCATTTATATGTGTAAGAATGTACATATTTTTAAGGATTAGGTGAGTACTTTATAAAAATAGTAAGCATCTAGATTTTCCAGGAAAAGTATTATATAGAAATTAAACAACCAGCTAGGAACCTCAGATTTAAAAATGAGCTCGGGCCCTAGAGTTAAGAATGACTGCATCGGATAGATAAGCTACCAGTCTATGTAGGAAGGGGGAGGAGAGGTTCAAGCAAAGTGTCAGTCACGCTGTTTATACAGCACCTCCTGCTGTCAGATCCATAAAGAGAAATGAGAATTGACTTTGGAAGAGACTATTCCTGTCTAGAGCTAATAGTGGTCAGCAAGAAGAAATCAAACAAAAACAAAAACAAAAATGAAGAGAATGTGTGAGAGAGAAACAAACAGAAAACAAGGAAAGAAAAGATTGTTTCAGAATATTTCTGAGTCAGTATAGTGATATATTAAAACATGAGAAATATCTTTACACTTTCTGTTGATAATTCTTCACTTTATAAACAACACTACCTGTCACAAAAGCTACAGAAATGAAATCTGTTACTTTCCAGTGCCTTAACATCTAAAATTTACTCATTTAGAAAAAATAATATAAAATGAATACAATTATTTAACAAGTATAATGTTAATTAGTAGAACAAAACAAACAGTGGAGTTTCTAAAGAAAAATTAACATGCAAGTCATTTATTGACTACTTTTTGCTCTTCCCTGTAAAGAACATTTAAAGACATTTCAGTAAATTAACTTATGTTAATCATTCCTCTGGTGATTATCCAGCAGTGTTCAGTTGGAAATTTTAAATGACAAGAAAAATATAATAATTTTAGTAGATTTGAAATCTCTTCTGAAGACAAATGGTTCTTTATAATGAAAGGCTCGCATATACACATATGTTCAGTATAACCATGTTGGACATTTTTAACTTTTAAGAGTCCAGATTATGAGGATAAATGTCAGTACAGCTATGACAGTTAATTATCTACAAAAACCTTACAATTAAAATATTTTAGTAAACAGTTCAAACTGATTCAAGTGCTTAAATTAAAATTTCATAGCACAAGGATGTTAAATGTTTTGTGCAGTTAATGTGCTGAAAGCTTGTGTTATTTTGAATTCTATTACTTCAAAGGTAAGATGTAACATATAATTCAGTGTGAAGTGTCTCTCTTAGTTTTTCCAACTTTCCTAACTGAAGTTGTGTTAGTACTGAACATAAATAAAATTATTTTAAGTCTGGGTATAACTGTAGGTATAACAATACTTCTTACTATAATATTACTATATTTTGTTTATGTTGACCTTTACTTCTAATTAACTAAAACAAGTTTGTTTTGTAAAGAGCACATTGTGATATGATACAGATATAAGATTAGGATGCACATTAATAAAGAATCAGGATATTCAATCAAAATACTATCACTTTGTCCTGTTGTGCTAAGGCCTGACAGCATAATGCTATGATGACTGCATACAGTATTTGTACCAGTATAACATCTAGCCATTACTTGACAACATTAAATATATTTTCTCGATTTCTCTTTTTCTTAGTGTTATTTTGACATTTGAATTATTTGTATTTACTTTGTCTTTTCATTTAAACAAAAAGGGAATAGAAGTAAAAAAAAAAAGGGAAAATTCTTTGACTTGTTATTACTCTGCTAAGACTGTAGTCTGTGAATTGAAATCAAATAGAACATACAACTAATAATATGCTAATACATGTACTTCTATTAAAATCCATCTGGACTTCAGTTTAAAATGCAGGTATTGAATTAAAGCAATACATAGTTTCTGGTCCACACTGTGCATGTGAGCTGGTTGCACAGGGTCGTCTTTCTAACCACTCTGTTGCTTCTTGCCCCAGAGGAAGAAAACAGTGAGGAGCTAACATCTCTTTGCTGTAGTCTTTGTATCCTATTAAAGAGGATAACCAGTATCTTTCAAATAATATTCATTGAGAATAATATAGGTAAAGTAAAACAGGTAAAACTGAGAGAGTACTTGAACTTTGGGAAGTGATTTGTACTTTTCTATAAATAAAGGAGAAAGGAAGAAAATATGTATGTATAAACACTATTGTACAAAAGCCTTCTATTTTTTTCCTCGAAACTTTCTAATGGAATTTACATACCTGTTTAATGAGCTATAAGCTTCACTAAAATTGTGACAGAACTTATATTGACATTTTAACGCCATGAATTATGGGACTGTAAAATACAGTTTTTTAACAAAAAAGTAAAATTTAAGCAACAGTACTGTTAGAATTATTCTGCTATTAGTATTTCAGATATTAGCCTTTTGCCTTGCTATTTTAAACATTCTGTGTTGGTCTCCGTTGGAATTTCTGAGATCCCCAAATATATCTGGAGGTTAAAATCAGTCGTTATCTATATAATGTACACAACTGGATGAATGCACGTAAGACATTTTTAAATCTTTTTGTCAAGCTACTATGGTTGCCCTTAAAAATGTTTTTAGGAAAAAGTCATCACCAAAATGAAATTGCTTTTAAGTGAGATGTAATACATAACAATAGGAATAACATTATATCTGATAGTATGGGATATAGTTAACACTTTCAGAGATGGGGGATGTCCACCTCATTAGCATTCTTCATATGTAGTGGTGCTGTTGGTGGGGGTGTTGAAGTAGGAATGCCATTGTGCTGGGTTCCAGTGTTTGGGGACAAACACTGCTGTGGAGAGAACGTGTGAAAAGGCCATAGTACTGACAGTGAATGAGGAAGGCTGTGCTTTCTGTATGCTTCAAGCAGGGAAGCTGTCATTCACAGGCCGAGCACAGCTAAACAGAGGCCAAAAGAGAAGACTCAAATACCTTTTAAAATGATATTAATGATTTTTAAACATTTTCTTCATTTAGAATTACACTTTATTCAAGCTGTTGATCTATCCTTTACTAAGCAATATAAAATGTACATGAACAGGTAAATAGAATAGTATCTCATCATTGCCCCAGTAAAGATTTATTATGGAGAATGTATATGTATAAATATTTGAGAATCACAAGTTGCTTTAAGTATATTCGAATGGCTTTGAGCATGTGTCACTTACAAGGGTTTAGCAAAATTTTAATGTGATAGTTAACAAATATAGCCTGTCCTAAGGTTATATTCTGTGTGCTTTTATTTTTACTGGAAGTGTGTTATATGTGGGGATGAGGGGACTGAGCTGGGATGAGAAGTGACAGGAAATTGTGCTGAATGTTCATTAGCTTGATCTAGCAGAACTTACAGTAATAGTAATTAATCATTTGAACCACAGAAAATTACATTACATTAAAGTAATGGAGCCAGTATGCAAAATACCCACAAGAAAAAGAAGAGAGAATAAAATTATTGACTGATTCTACTATTCCCCATTTCTGCTATGGGAACACAAGCTTAAATGTACTATTTCAGAACTGTATATCCAACAGCTTTGCTGTTATTATTTTGAGCTACATCTGTAAACATAATAATTCCTAAGTTTTTCCTCATTTTGCTATGCAGAACTATAAAAAATATTACTGACTTTTTAAACATTGAAATATTGCAAATACCAGAACAAAGAAAAAAGCCAGACTATATTTCTTTTATTTTCTTGTGTTGTTCTCTTGATACTGCTGACTCGAGAACTGGAGGTTGAATATAACTGTGATATGCAAACAAAAGCTTTTCTCCATAACTTTTATTTTTTTGTAGTTTATAAAAAACATATATGTCATTACTACTTAATTGGTTTTCACAAATTTCAGCAAATGCATTGTGTAGTAAGATTTCTAATGACTCTTTGTTTTGTTTTTGTTTTTACCCTTAAAAAAAAAAGTATAAGCTAGATGTTCGATATAATAATTTTGCAGGGGTTTTGGCTGGCAGAAACTAACAAAATGATACGCTTTTATCAACTATTTTTTAATCAATATGTTTTTCCTATCATTTTTGTATTCATCCTAGTTCATAGAGTTATCAGAAAACTATATCAAAGAATACTTACCCTATTTATAATTCTGTTTTCAGAAAATTAGATTATATTGTGGTAAAGCTGGCATAATAATTATTAGATATTATTTGAGAAAAGGAAGAAATTCACCAAAATGCTTAACTTGATTTCCAGTTCAACCCAGCCTTGTATTTGTATTTTTATGGTTTTGGAAAGTGAATTCTTAAGATAACTTAATTATCACAGCCTCTGTTCAGTAACACCCCCTTCTTTTAGACTTAAATATTTGTTTCCTCTTCCTTGCAGCTTCTACTTTTCTAATTTTATATGACATTGACTCACACTGTTGAAGAGGTGTTAAGTATCTTTATTTCCTTCTTCATAGGTCACAGAAAAATAGATTTTTTTGTCTGTTTGACCTGTA